TTCTGTTACTAGGGAGATGATGAGACCTCAGTGCTTGTCTTCTTGAAGGAGAGATTTTAATTAAGAGATGAAGTGTAAAAAGCAAGCAAGAATGTATTGACCACAGCAAAAACATATTTAGGGTAGTGAAACAAGGAAGGGTTTAGATGAAGCAATAGGAGAGCCTAGACTGGCTGCCTTGGCTCACTGGGAAGTCACAGAACTGGAGGCCTTGGAGATGGTCCCAGGGGGTTAGCCTGGGAAGAGCTGCCACTGCCCAGTGCTCCCCTGGTTGCAAATCTCATGGGGTCCCTTAAAAGTTGAGGCATATGGGGGGGTGTAGAGGGGTTGAGAGGGAGAGGGAAATGGCTTGGGCATGCTCCCAGGAGAGAGAACCCTCTGGGACCTTTGTTTTCAAAGATTTTAAGGCTGGGTGTTTAGGGGAGGTCTTAGGGACAGATCAATAAAGTATTCATCAGCTTTATGCTGATGTATCAAAATGAGATTTATTCTCTTAATTTGTCTGAACTTGAGTGGGATTGGCAAATGACACTTAATTGGATTTCTGTTATCTATCTCCCTAAATAGGGTAATTTAAATTATTTACCATTGGTTTGAGGAAGAGAAGTGCAAACCATTTTTTTTTAAGTGTCCTTGGTTGAAGGAAGATAGGATTTAGTAAGTAGCTGCAAACTGCTCTTTAATTATCTGTCTTTGTTTCCCCATTCTGCTTATCCTGGAATTTTTCTAGCTTCTTATTATTCTATAATACTCCTGTTATCCCTTTAACTAATATTTCTTAGTGTTCTGAATTTTACCCTTTTTCTTTTATACCCTATAGTAATGTTTATTTGATTATTTTAGAGTCAAGAACTCCTTTAAGAATCTAAAGAAGCTCTTGCCAGGTGGCTCAGGTGGCATTGTCCATCACCAAAAGGTTATGGGAGAGACTTTCGGTCAGGGCCCATAAGTAGGTTACAGGTTGAATCCCTGGTCAGGGCAAAATTGAGAGGCAACTGATCAATGGCGCTCTCTCTCTCTCTCTCACTCTCTTCCCATTCTTCTCTCTCTCAAATCAATAAAAACATATTCTTGAGTGAGGATTTTTTTAAAAAAATATGTAAAGAAATCATCCACCCTCTCCCTAAAGGGCGTGGGGGGGAATAGATCTACTTTCAAATATACAAAAATTTGCATATATTTTAAGAAATTTCATGGGCCTTCTTCCCTTCCCACAGAGCCCATTGTTGAACTCCAGGTTAAGGTGTTCTTAGTTTTAACTATTAGCTATATGCCAATGACCCTCAAATATGTCTCCCACATAAAGCACTTTCCTGAGCTACAGTTCTACTTTCAAATGACTTATCCACATCAATGCCCCTCAGGCACCTTTAAAATCTAGATAACTGAAACCAAACTCATTATCTTTATCCTAAAACATGTTCTCCTCCTACAACAGAGAACCTATGAGAAAAAGAACACTGTTTTTGAAACTAATAGATCTAGATTTAAATTCAGCCCTGGAAACTTCAATAATATATTTAATTTCTTATATTTAATATGAGTATAATACTTCCATTTTCTGAATTATGATGAGAATTAAAATAGATAATGGGAAAATCCCTAGCCATGTGTCACCACATAGCATACATTTCACAAATATTAATATGTCAGCCAAAGCAACCTCATTCACCAATTATCTTAAGTAAAAAATTTAGGGTCATCGGACCCAGTTTGGCTCAGTGGATAGAGCATCAGCCTGTCAACTCAAGGATCCCAGGTTCTATTCCGGTCAAGGGCACATATGTTGGTTGCCGGCACATCCCCAGTAGGGAGTGAGCAGGAGGCAGCTGATCGATGTTTCTCTCTCATCGATGTTTCTAACTCTCTATCCCTCTCCCTTCCTCTCTGTAAAAACTCAATAAAATATATTTTTAAAAATTTAGGGTCATCCTTAATTTGCCCCCCTTTCTTCATCTGCAGCCAATGGATAGCTATGCTGTGTTGATTCCTCAATGTTCTCATGCCCTTAGTTCAGACTCTCATGTTCTTTCTCATGGACACAGCAGTAGTTTCTGTTATGCCCAGACTTCATGATCCCTAAGGACCACCAGGGAGCCGAGTCCAATGCAATAAACAAAAGAGGCCCTTCCAAGCTAGCATGGGCTCTGTCTCACTCACGCCAGCAGCATGGCTGAAGAGCGTGGGGTTTTACTCCGGTCAGTGGTGCCGTCACTGCCTCGGCTAACCCTGATTGGTTGGGTGAGGGCTAGGGTTCAGTTACAAAATGGAGGATAACTCTTCCCTGCCCCAGAGTGGAGTCAGGAGTTTGTCCTCACCCTGCCCTCTCAGTTTCCTGTCCTGTTGATCTAATTCCTATCTCACACCTGGGTGGGGAACTTTTTTTCTGCCAAGGGCCACTTGAATATTTATAACATCATTTTCAGGCCATACAGAATTTTCACCTTAAAAATTTAGCCTGCTATGTTTGGTCAGGCATTTAACTAACTCACCCCTAATGCCTTGGCAGGGCCAGACTAGATGATTTTGAGGGCAACCCGCTGGCCAGATGTTCTCCACCCCTGCTCTACACTGAAGCCAGGGGATCTCCTCAAGACACACATCTGATAATGCCATGACTCTGCTTAAATCTGCCCAGTTGCTTCCTGTTGCTTTCGATATTACATCTACTTTAGTATTGCACAGAAGGCTGACTGGCTCCTGTCAACTCCAACTTGTGTGTCTCCCCAACTTCCCATAGTGTTTTGGAGTCCATATCTCTATTCACACTGCTTCATTTGCCTGAAATGACCTCAACACTCTACATCTTTTTCTGGCATTCAGGCAAATACCTACTCACTCATCTTTCAAAACAGTCCAAGCATTACCTCTGCTATGAAGTTATTTCTTACAGCCTCCTGTCATACTGCTGCTCACTGACTCCTTTTATCTCCTTGATGGATGATTTTCTATCATGGCAAATATGAATGCACATAGTTTCCGATTTCAAAAAGCTTACAACCAGAAATCTTGTTATATAATCTGGACCAGTAAGCCAAATTGAAAGAGAAATCTTGAGGCATGAAAAAATGAGTTGTAAGTAACTTCAACAGTGAGATCAATGGTGCTTCTCAGAGGCTTTATTTGACTCCCAAGCACTAGGTTGTGTGTGTGTGTATACACATTAATACATAAGTATTAGCTATATATTAACTGATTTAATCTTCATAATCTTTATGAGGTGGGCACTATTATTATACCTACTTTATAAGTCATGAGAACATTGGAGAGGCTAGAGGTTGAGCATCAACCTATAAACCAGGAGGTCATGGCTTGATTCCTCCTCAGAGCACATGCCCGGGTTGAGGGATCCATGCCCAGAAGTGGGTGTGCAGGAAGCAGCTGATCAATGATTCTCTCTCATCATTGATGTTTCTATCTCCCTCTCTATTCCTTTCTGAAATCAATTTTATATACATATATATATATATATATATATATATATATATATATAATTTTTTTTTAATGGAAGTAAGGTAGCCCTGTCTGTTTTGGCTCAGTGGATGGATCGTCCGCCTGTGGACCGAGGGGGTCCTGGATTCAATTCTGGACAAGGGCATATACCCGGTTGCAGGCTCCATCCCCAGTGGGAGGGTGGGGGAGGGCGCAGCATTCAGGAGGCAGTCAATCAGTGATTCTCATCATTGATGTTTCTATCTTTCTCTCCCTCTCCCTTCCTCTCTGAATTACTAAAAAAAAAAAAAATATATATATATATATATATATATATATATATATATATATATATATAGTTTTAAAAAGTAAGGAAATTAAAAATTAAGAGATTAAGTAACTTGTCCAATATGACCCAATAGAAATGTTAGTATGAATAAAGTATGGATTTCGGTTAATTAAAAAATAGCATTGATAAAAATTAAGTTGATAAATAAAAATTAATTTTTTGTTGTAATTAACTAATATATATTTTGAGCCTATTAAAGGCTGATGGGCAAAGAAAAACCTAGGTGCCCTATGCTCAAAAACAGTGAGTCCTGAATAATAGAGTAAGCTACAAAGAGCAGGAGACTATTTACTGGGGGCTGTAAGAAAACTCTGGGGTGAGGGCAATGTATGAACTGGATCAGTAAGTTAATGAACAAAAGGAGATGAAAGCCTAACCCAGGTCAGGGGCCCCCCAGGTCATTCCTCCAAGTCACTCTGACTTCACCTTTTCTCCTCCCACATTGTTGGCCCGGACTAGCCAATGGGAGGTCGGCTCCGCCTAGGCCTCCTGTGCGCGTGCGCAGCGTCGGATCGACGATCCTCTCCATCCATTCGCTCGGAAGCAACTTCCTCCGCCTAGTCACTGTCCGCGCAGGCGCGACCCAGCTGCCGTGGCCGCCGCCATCTTCGCGGCGGGAAGAGTCGGGGTCTGGGACAGCTGGCGGCGGCGGCGGTGACAGGTATGGCATGGTTTCCGCCCGCGGTAGCCCCCTCCACATTTGCCCGGCTTCGGGCCACCGCTCTCGGTGTTGCTCCCATTCCCACAGGGCCACGTCTCTGCCCCCATTTCGTCCTGTCACTCTGACTTCAGCCCCCTTTTCGCGTCCTCACTCTTCCCGTGCAGCTCGAACCTTGGTTTGGAGCTGCTGGGTGGCCGCCCCGACCTGTGTTAAAACGCCCGCGCCGCCCTCAGGACCGGGCCTGGGCGCAGGCCCCCCGCTGCTGCCCGGGTCTGGCCCGAGGTGTTGGCTGCGGGGCGCGCCGAGGGCCCCGAGCGCGGGCCTCCCGGGCGGGGCGGGGGCGGCCGGGGGTCTGGGCCGAGCCCAGCTCGGCCTCCTTGGATGGACCGAACCTGCACGCTGGTCCTTCGTGATCAGGGACACACACACACACACACACAGGCCGCTTCCGAGCGGCCCGCCGCCAAAGCCTGATCCTCCACTAGCCTGTGGTTTGTCCTTTCCCAGGAGCGACTCTGCGGAAGGGAAGATCCTCTCTGTCTGCTCTCTCCGCCAGAAATGGCCAATGTGAGTAAACAAGCCGCTTCCGCGGCGGCCTAGTCCGACTGCTCCAGCCCGGCCGCTTGTTGGGGAAAGCGGGAGGTCGGGTTTGAGAGGGTGTAGGTGACACACTGTTTTTCGGACGGAGACGGCTTAGCGCAGCGATTCCCGCCCGGTGGGTGGGCCGCGGGGGTGGCAGGCCCTGACCCCTTCCCCGGGGATGGTCAGATCGGACATGACAGCAGCTGTTCCGAGTGAAGGAGCCAAGTTCATGTCTACTTTTGTGGTCAGATGGGCAAAACACTGTGTGTGTGAGCTTCAGAACTTTAGTAATGAGTTTTGTGTGCCACCAGTTGAAAAAGGGTAGGAAGTCGCCGGGAAATAAATGCCCAGGGAAGCAAGGGGCGAGAAATGAATGTTCTCCGCCTTGACAGTGGCTTGAACGCATCCTTTTTCAAGTAAAGGTGTACTTGTTTCTACAAACTCAGTTTTAGAAATACATTCAGAGCCAGAATCCTTTATATATATATATATATTTTTTTTAATATATTATTTCAGTAAAATATTTCGTATCTGTTTTTATGTTCTTTGTTAGCCAAACTGGATGTTTTGTAGCAAGTTTTAGCATAGCAAGTAACTTTCCAAACCCAGCAAAATGAAAGCAAGAGATACTATTCACACAGACTAAAGGTATTTATTGACTGTCACTGTCCAGTTATTAATCGGACACGCCCTAGCATATGGTGTTTTTATGGTAGGGGACATGACATGTAAAGGGAAACAACAACAATAAAAGTAGGAAGTGATTTTTTTTTAAAGCTACACACACGGTACAATGTGGATTCAGCTTTGTGGAGAAGAGAAAGTAGTGACCTGGGATCACTTCATCTGAGAAGCGTTTAATTTGAGTTTTGTGAAAGAATCGGATTCAGAGAATCTAAGGTGTAAGTGGGAAGAACAGGAGTACATATAATCAAAAAAACACACCCCCTTTCAAAAATCAAGAATTTTGCCTTCCCGAGTATAAGGTATGTAGATAAAATTACTGGGAAATAAGTTTGTATTCTAGAATTCTGATCAAATAATAGAGAGCCTTGAATGCCAAACAGTAATGTAGACATTTTTTAAATCATGATGATTTAGTCAGAGCGGTGTGAGAAAGATTAGTATGGCAACAGATACCCAGAATGGTGTTTCTGTAATTGAACCTGATGTATTCAGGGAGAGTCTAATGATGTGACTATAGGGACAAGTTATAAAAGTAGACCACTAGTCTGGCCATGTAAGATGAATTTTTACCCAGCTATAACCACAGAAAGGGAACCTTGTAAAGAAGCACATGGTACTTTCAAAGGAGAGACATTAATTAGAGTAGAATGCTAATATTTGACCTGGCTTTATACATTAGTTCAGTAGGGTAAACAATTTGGAAGCTATTTTGTAAGCCCTCTTATTGTTAGAAAGAAGGTCATATAAAATAAATTTTCAAATTTGGTGTTTATATGCATTGTAAACACTGAATGGATGTTACTAATAAAATATGCAGATATGTGTGTCTTAACCATGTATGAACATACATAGCAAGGATCAAAATGTCCATGCTTCAGCAGATAGGTAAATTAAAAGGCATTGATGGGGATTTTGACAAACTGAAATGTCTACTTCTGATAAGGAAGGCTGCTCCTTCCTTAGCCAACAGCATTTGTTGTTAACTATTGTCTTCTGGGAATCTGAATCAGTGCTACCAGATCTTCAAGAACAGCTAAAAATCTGCATTTTTTGTGTGAAATCTCATAGTTTCTCACTGTTGATATTCAATTCAAATTTCTTGTGTAACACTGTGGACCACACAAAAATGTCTGTGGATGCATATGGATGTTTCATAGATGACCTGTTTTCAGTCTTTGGTATAGACCAGTGGGCGGCAAACTCATTAGTCAATAGAACCAAATATCAACAGTACAACAATTGAAATTTCTTTTGAGAGCCAAAAACCTACTTCTACGCACGAAGTTTTATTTTATTTTATTTTATCTTATTAATATTTTATTGATTTTTCTTACAGAGAGGAAGGGAGAGGAATAGAGAGCTAGAAACATCGATGAGAGAGAAACATCGACAAGCTGCCTCTCGCACACCCCCTACCGGGGATGTGCCCGCAACCAATGTACATGCCCTTGACCGGAATCGAACCTGGGACCCTTCAGTCCCCAGACCGACGCTCTACCACTGAGCCAAACCGGTTTCGGCTTGGACCACGAAGTTTTTATTGCACTGTATGTGCGTGCCCACACATGGTATTTTGTGGAAGAGCCACACTCAAGGGGCCAAAGAGCCGCATGTGGCTCTCGAACCCCAGTTTGCTGACCACTTGTGTAGACCATTTTTCTCCTCACAGAACATAGGCCTAAGAAGTGCCTAAAGACTGTTTCTATTTATATGCTAAAAGAATTTTAAAATTGAACCTTAATAGCTTGTCATCTTTCCAAGTTTAGAGTCCTAGGTTTGTTTGAACTTAGTTATGTATAAAATATATACTATCCTCAAACTAAAATAAGCTGGCTATTCTAACCTGGGGGTGGTTTTATTGACTTCAACTTGTAATCATTATGTTCATCAGTTGACCCAGTGTCATAAAATCTGTCAAATTCACACAAAATATTTCACTTCAACAATAAAAGATTTGAGAGCCATATAGGTTAAAGGGAAAATTTTAAAACTAGTACTATCATCAGCTATCTCTTTCTATGGACAAATTAAATGCTGGTTTATTTTGCAAATAAAATGAAACTTGGTGATTAGATTTTCTTAGAATAGTTATTATATAATTTTTGTTAAAAGTTTTACCACAAAGAAAAATATAGAGTCTAGTGGCCTTGGTACTTAGAAGCTGAAATAATTGTTAATAATATTAGGCAACTTCTGAAATAATCTTCCTGAAATGAAATTGTTTTTGCTTGTGAAGCAAAGTTAATATGATGGATCACAAATAATATTTTAATAATCATACTTAAGTTAGTACTAGTAATGGCATATAGGAGTGTTGTGAAAATTAAGTAAAACAGTACATGTGAAGCACTTACCACAAGGACCTGGCCCAAAGTCACTAATACTATTGATTGCTATTTAATATTGCCTCTTTCAGCTAATCTCTTAGTAAACTTCTTATTTTGAGGCTTTGCTCAAATATTTCTGATATTTAAATTTTTAAATTACATTTTAGATTCTGAGGCATAGTCAATCTGTTAAATGTCCTCAATGGTAAAGGTAAATTTAAAGTATTATAGAAACACCTAAAAGTTTCTAGTTTCTCTAGTAGGTTAAAAATAATAATAATAATTACCACCTTTGTCTCTTTGAGCAGAATAGGTACAGACAAGGGAGAATGCTTAAATTTTCAGGTGGACTGAATGCTTTGGAGAAAGTCTTGCACTTAGGAGACTCAGAAGGTTCTATTCCAGGTCTTTAAAAGTTATATTTAAGGCTTAGAATATGAGGAAAAGGGGCATTTTAGCATAAGAACTCTTTTGACAGTCTAAAAGAAGATATACAAATATGGAAAATGTGAGGTAGATATTTTTATGTGACTAAAGAGTGAAGTAAGAGAAGGGAGGGTAAAATTCGTAATCAAATGCTGTCAGAATAAGACCAGTTTCTGATGTTGTCTTGTATTTATGGTAAGAAATAAAGTCAGAAAGAACATATAGGTTGGATTTCAGAATACTATATAAAAAGGAAAAAGAATGAGTAAGGTGTCAAATGGCTAGACTATTTCAACATCCTGGTAACTAGTTTTATACCACCTCTCTAACCTCACTTCAGTCCATTCTCTCTGCTCCCCGTAATGGTACATACCTTAAGATTTATCATATTTTTATCAGTTTACTCCATTCCCTGTCTACAAAATAAAATTCTGATTTATTATCTTGATATAACCGGCCCTTTACTGTCTGTGCCAAATACAAGGCCTTTTATAGTTGCCCACAAGTCAACTTTTAAGACCTTTTTACTGGACTCCCTTATATCTTCTCTCACTGAACTTGTCACTCTTTGAATATATCTTTTACAGCTTCATACTTTTGTTCCTGAAAGTCGTTCATTGAAATTCCACTTTCCCTAGCAAATTTCTACAAAACCTAATATACTCTCCCTGAAATTCTTTTTCTACTCCTTCAAGGATTTCTTAATTATTCAAATATTTAAATAGAATTTTACAGGTGACATATTTGTTTTTATTCTTTTCCACTAAACTAAAAAGTTGGCAAATTTTAAATTTTTTAATGTAAAGGTCCAGATAGTAAATATTTTAGACTGTGGGCCATAAAGTGTCTGTGCAACTGTATTTAATCCTGCTATTGCAAAAGTAGCCACATAAGTGGCTTACTGTTACAATAAAACTTGCTTGATCAAAACAAACAGTAGACTGTATTTGGCTATAGTTTCCCAGCTCTTGCATTAAATTATTCTGACTCAAGTATTTTACTAAAAATTTATGCATTTACACAATCATTATAACACCTCAGAGTCAAGGAAATGAACTTAGGATCAGAAAATGTATTGCAAAAGCATGTGTTAAAATGGGAGAAAGTGGACCTTGCCATAAAACCAAGAGGAAAGTTGGCATGGAAGATAATTGACACAATTTATAGCAGTGAAAGAAGACAAGGGTTAGAAAATAAACAGGTTTTGATCCAAGGAAAGGTTTTGAAAGTTCTGTGTTTTGAGAATAGAAGAATATTATTACTTGGGCTACCTTTTTAGTGCAATTTTTAGAGGTTCCATTCTCTAGTGTAGCACTCTTAATTCTGGTCTTTATTGGAAAAGTAACTTATTGTTTGTTTGATTTAATATTCGTGTTTATTTTTAAAATTATAAATATACATAATATTTTCATATGAAGAGAATAAATATACATTTTAAAAGATATATTGCAGTGTGATTTACCAGAGGTTATCAAAGTATAACATTTATAATCAGAAAAAAATAATTTAAAATTTTGTGTCATTTTTAGGTGCTCTGTAACAGAGCCAGGCTGGTTTCCTATCTCCCAGGATTTTACTCTTTGGTTAAAAGGGTTGTCAATCCCAAAGCCTTTTCAACTGCAGGATCTTCAGGTTCTGATGAGTCTCATATGGCCACTGCACCTCCCGATATATGTAAGTAAAAACTATTATTGCTTTACTTATAATTGTTTCAAAACATTTTTAGTTTTGTTTCCTATATTTCTTCTTGAGGTTTTACAGATTTTTTAAAGTTGAGTTTATATCATTGAATATAGACTCAGAGCTCTGCCTAAATATTTATATCCAAAAGCTACAACATTAAAAAAATAAAAGAATATTGGTTTCTAAAGCTTATTTTTTTACACATTAGTTACACATTATTTCTATCTTCAAAAAAACACAGCCCTCTCTGAAAGAAATCTTTTAATGCTATTACATGTACCACTTTTTACCATTCTTTGCTGAATGTTTTAAATAGCTGTCACTTTTTATATGTGTTTATTGAATCAGTAACTTACCCTCTACAAATTCTGCTTCATGTAATCCATGTTGCACATTATTAATCATTTTTAATTCTGTCACTTTCTTAATAAATCTTGGTTATCTCCCACTACTTTCAGTAGCAGTTCCAGACTGTCCCCAACCTATGAATAATTTTCCAGTTCTAAAAAAGTTTTTTTTTAAATTTATGTAATTAGGTAAATTTCAGAAGTGTTATATGCCGCAGTCCTATATTGGAGACTTATAATGCTCACTGAAATAGTAAGAGAGGGCTCTTAGGAACTTAATGTAATGTATCCTAAAGGAATTGGGCCTGGAATTCTTTTTTTTCTTGCAACACATTACTTACAGTGTAATGTAAGTTCACTTGAGCATGCCCCAGGTTTTCTTGCCCCAGTTTTATACCCCTTCTTCGATTACTCCAGCTTATATCTTTGGAAGACTAAACATGTATGTATCATAAATGAAACCTTTGTGTCGAAACCGGTTTGGCTCAGTGGTAGAGTGTCGGCCTGCAGACTGAAAAGTCCCAGGTTCGATTCCGGTCGGGGAATGTATGTTGGTTGCAGGCACATCCCCGGTAGGGGGTGTGCAAGAGGCAGCTGGTCGATGTTTCTAGCTCTCTATCTCTCTCCCTTCCTCTCTGTAAAAAATCAATAAAATATATTAATAATAATAATAATAATAGTTTAAATAAATAAATAAATGAAACATTTGTCATTCAGGGATTTGTATCCTGAATATTAAAAAATAATAATAATAGCCGAAACCGGTTTGGCTCAGTGGATAGAGCGTCAGCCTAGGGACTGAAAAGTCCCGGGTTCCATTCCGGTCAAGGGCATATACCTTGGTTACGGGCACATCCTCAGTAGAGTGTGTGCAAGAGGCAACTAATCGATGATTCTCTCGTCGATGTTTCTAACTCTCTATCCCTCTCTCTTCCTCTCTGTAAAAAAACAATAAAATATATTAAAATAATAATAATAATAATAATTCATAGACTAATAGGAAAAAGACAGTAGGAAACCAAACTATTTTTTGCATTTTAAGATATAAATTTTGTTTTTATTTTTACAGATTATAATCCAAATTCAGTTAAAATCCTATTATAATTTATTTATTTTAAATTTATTTTTATTGTTTTTATATACTTTTTATTGTTACTAGTATTACAGATATCTTCCATTTCTCTCCTCTGTCCCCCCTTTTTCTCAGCCCCTACCTACCCTCCCACCATGTCTTCACTACCCTGTTGCCCATGTCCATGGGCTCTGCATTTAAATATAAGTTCTTTGGTTGAGGGGAACAAGAAGAGATAAACCAAACATTTTTTTAATGTAAATAAACAGACTATTCCTGGAAGAAAAAAACTAAATGACCAGTCAAGATGAAATTATGCTCAAATCCACTGTTAAACATGGGTTATTTTTTTTTCAATAGACTGTTAGATCTGAATAGCCTTTAAAACCAATCTTATTAAAAAATAGCTGATAGGTTTTTGTTTTTGAACTGACTTCAGTTAATCATTAGTGTGTGTCAGCCTTATTATTCAAGATGGGCTTCAGACAATAGCATCTAGAACTTGATAGAAATGAAGAATCTTGAGCCCTACTCCAGACTTAATAAATCAGAATCTACAGTTTTATAAGATCTCTGATGATTTTCTGACATTTTATCTTTTTTTCCCTTCACCCGAGGATATACTTTTTATTGATTTTTAGAGAGGGAAAGGAGAGAGAGACATCAACCAGCTGCCTCTTGTAAGCTCCCCAACACAGGACTGAACCCACAACCTAGGTATGTGCCTTGTTGAATGGATCCTGAAACCCTTGGGTGCATGGGACAATGCTCCAAACAATGGAGCCACCTGGCCAGTACTCTGATAATTCTTAAATACTCCTTAAGAGTTTAAGAAATATTAGGCTAGAGTGTTTAGGTTAAGAATTATGAAAAATTATCTAAATTCAAAGGGAAGAGTTTTATGGTTGATGGATAATGTTGGTCCTAGTTCTAGAAGATGAATATGATAACACAATCTAATGATGGAGCAGCCATATTATATGGCCATTTTTATTTTTTTTTATTATTTTTTTTTAAATCAATCTTTATTGTTCATATTATTACAAAGGTTCCTCATTTCTTCCCCCCTCCATCAGGTTCCCACCCCACCCTCCACCCCCTCCCCATCCCCCATTGTCCTCATCCATAGGTGCAGTTTATGTTCAGTCTCTTCTTCCCTCCCTTTCCCCAATAGTAAATCCCTTTTCAGATAGTAAATCAGTTACTTAGCATTTTCTCAAATCAATAATACCTCCACATGCCCAATGATACACTTCACACAAAAGACATTTCCCAATAGATCCACCAGCCTCATCCAGGCCCCACCCAAGGCACTCAAAGATCAACACCCCAGCCCTAAACTAACTCAACACATCCAGATCTAAGCCTTCATCACTTGATTCAGCAGACCCTCAAGTTCCCACGAAAGTTTCCAGCCATGTCTGAGAAGCAGCCATGGGGCAGGGGCAGGCAAGGAGCGAGCTGTTCCGGGCCTGGCTGCTCAGGGCCTGGCCTCTGTTGCTCTGGTTCATTCCACAACCAGCTGCTCCGGGTCTGGTCACTGCCACTCCCGACCTAGTTGCTCTGGACTTGGCTGCTGCTGCTCCGGGCCTGGCCGCTCCGCTGCACCCGACCCGCCTGCTCCCCCGGGCCTGGCCGCTCCCAGCCTGGCAGCCGCTGCTCCGGGCCTGGCCGCACCCGACCCGTATATGGCCATTTTTAGTCACTCGGTTTGGGCAGAGAATTAAAAAATATTTTTATTGCCAACTGATGTCTTCGGCAATCATTTTTTTTCTGTAAACAAAATTCCTACTTGAATATTTCTTTGTTTAGTTTTCTACTTTATTCTTTCCTGGATCTTTTTGGAATTTTCACAAGTTAGGATATTTTTAAAAAGTGAATGAAGCACTGTTTCTCTTCTGTAAGTATTTAATCCTTGTTAACTCAAGGATTTCAGCTGGATAAACAGGGCATTATGTTATATGGTTCATGTAAGGTTTTTCCAGCCCATCATTAACAACAGCTTTATGCCCCTCCCCTAGGGTAACCCTTGTTATGTTCAGTATGCTTCATTTTAGATTCCCTCCCCCCCTTTTTTAAACATAAATAAAAGATTTTAAAATAAATACTATTCTTTGACTTAGCTTTTTCGCTTAAGGTAATATATCTTGGACTTTAATATCAGTAAGGATATACTATATTCTTTTTCATAATTATTATCAAGCATTAAATAATATGGATTGCAATACTTTTATTAAATCTACTAATGGACTTGCTTAGGAGCTGACAACTGATTGCTTTGATTAGCAATTTGGAAATAACTCGAAACTAACTTATATTTGCATAGAAAAACAAATTTCTAAAGTCTATCATTTAGGTAAAAAAATACCAATTCTAAAAAGAATTCATTCTTTCAGTCTCCCATTACCGTTAAGGAGAAAATGACTCATTTTATTGTTTGTTTTCAGGCTCTCGAACAATATGGCCGGATGAAGTAATGGGACCATTTGGGCCTCAGGACCAGAGATTCCAGCTTCCTGGGAACATAGGTTTTGATTGTCATCTCAATGGGACCATGTCACAGAAGAAAAGCCAGGTTCATAAAACTTTGCCTGATGTTTTAGCAGAACCTTTATCAAGTGAAAGACATGAGTTTGTGATGGCACAATATGTGAATGAATTTCAGGTAAATTGTTAATATCATATATTCTGTTTTTATAATGCTATATTAATTTCCATAAAATACTTTTATTGAAAAATGTAAAAGAGAAATATTTAATTTCAATATATACAAAAACAACATAAGTAGATTTTTTTTTAAGTTGGCATTGTCCTATATATTTTACTTTAGATTACACTCTTTTTAGGTAATTAAATCTTCAGAACTGTCTTTTGATATTTGCTGATTTCATCAAAGAGAGATAATTTGATTATTTTTATATTACTGAAAATTTAGATCCCTGTTTTTCACTTTTATAAATCGTAATTATTTGTATATGGACTAAATTCCTGCTATATTCCTTTTTCCCATTTAAAAACTTCAGAAAATTTTGAGATCTCTGAAATTCTTCAGATGCAGTAATCTAAAAAGGAAAACTTACAAGTGAGCTTGTGTTATTTTAAATACAACTTCTGAAGGTTCTTTTGAATCTGCTGTTGTTTAAATGAATGTTTTTAAATGAGTTTTTTAAAACTAGTATTTCTTCATTGCCCAATCAAGTGGAAAGCTATATGCTATTCAGGGTTTCTGTCAAACCCCTGATTCTTGTCATTTTTCACATTTCTACATAGTTTCAGGCTAGGTTTTTATCAACACCATGTTATTAAAAACAACAACCCTTTACAGTTATTATGGGTTATATTAGATAACCTAATATTGGATACAGTTGACCTCTCCTTATAATTTTATTTCAGATAATTCCTTCTCAGCCCTCTTGGCTCCTCCTCCACCTACTAATCACATGATATTTCTTATATATTTCTGTTCTACATCTTTTCTTTTAAAAAAAATATATTTTATTGATTTTTTTACAGAGAGGAAGGGAGAGATATAGAGAGCTAGAAATGTCGATGAGAGAGAAACATCGACCAGCTGCCTCTTGCACCTACCAGGGATGTGCCCACAACCAAAGTACATGCCCTTGACTGGAATTGAATCCGGGACCTTTCAGTCCGCAGACCGATGCTCTACCACTGAGCCAAACTGGTTTCGGCTCTCTCTTTTCTTTTAAATTAATTCCTGGTCACTTATTCCCTTGGCTTCCTTTCTCAGGTGGTGTTTTTAGAATTTCTAACTTATTATTTCTACCATTTCTGGGTCTATATTTCTTGTCTGCCCATCAAACATCTTTGGATATCTCACAAGTCTCAGACTTTGCATGTCTAGTACTGAATTAGTTTATTTTCTCTCAAAACCTGTCCTTTTATATTTTCTGGAGTATAAATGACTTAGCTATCCTTCTACTGCCCCAAGACAAAAATTATACTGCCAATCTTAAATCCTCTCTCCATCAAACCTCCATAAATAGTAATGAAATTTCATTGCTTTTATCTCTTACAGTAGCTTTTATATTATTTATGGCCCTTTCAATTTTCAATAATATTGCCAGGAGTTCCAGGCTACCTTATCTTACCTAGATTCTTAGAAGCATCCTATCTAATAAAAAGTAATATGCAAATTGACCATTAGTCCAACACACAATATGGCTGCCCCCATGTGAATACAAGATAGCCAGCATGGGAGGGCAGTTAGGGGTGACCAGGCCAGCAGAGGAGGGCAGTTGGGGGCAACCAGGCCTGCAGGGGAGGGCAGTTGGCATGGACCAGGCTGGCAATGGGAGGGCAGTTAGGGGTAATCAGGCTGGCAGGGGAGGGAAGTTAGGGTTGACCAGGCTTGCAGGAGAGAACAATTGGGCAGTCGGGCCAGCCGGGGAGCAGTTAGGCATCAATCAGGCTGGCAGGGGAGTGGTTAGGGGGTAATCAGGCTGGTAGGCAGAAGCGGTTAGGGGCAATCAGGCAGGCAGGCAGGTAGGTGAGCATTTGGGGGCCAGCACTTTGGATTGTGAGAGGGATGTCCCAGATTGGAGAAGGTGCAGGCTGGCCTGAGGGGGACATACACCCCTCCACCCGGGCATGAATTTCATGCACCAAGTCTCTAGTTAAAATATGATGGACAATGGAGAAAGGATAAATCTAGGTTCAAAGGTTAGGTCTGCCATTTATTTAATGAGAAAATGACTTACTTTTCATAGCCTCTGTCTCTATATATAGAACTAGTGGCCTGATGCACAAAAATTTGTGCACTGTTGGGGAGGGAGACCCTCAGCTCAGCCTGCCCCCTCTCACAGTCTGGGAACCTTCCTGGGATGTCCTACTGACAGCTTAAGCCACAGTCTGGCCTCCCTCTGCTGGAGGCAACTGGCCTATCAGGTATAGAGATACTTTCTGAAGGCAGCACAGACTCCTTCCTTATTTCTTTCTTCTGTGGTTGGAGGATAGGGTATAAGAGGTGGAGACAGAACTGTGGCCAGGCCTTGGGGTTTTGTAGGCAGTGGAAAGAGGGAGAGAGCTGGGGAAAGTTTAGATATGGTTTCCTTCAGTACTCATCCCTTCCTCCGGGCCACTCCCTCCATTTTTTTCCTTGTCGTGGTGGATGCTCGGGCCTCGGACCAACAGCCCAGCGATGGTGGGGTTCAGCCCCCTCACTTCTCAGCTGATACAGTCACCTCACATTCCAGGCCGGGCTGTTTTCAAGTGGCTAAAACTCTGGGAATTCACGCCTCCCGGTCTTTCCCCTCTCAGTTTCCTCCTTGGGTCTGTTTGACACTTCACCAAGACACCAAAGCAGCTCTTCCCTGATAGTTCTGCACCCGCCCCTGCCCAGGCCCTGCCTGGCACTCTTCCTCAAGGTCTCCAGGTCCATAGTCTGCGCTCAGGGAAGTTGCCCAGAGCCCATTACCCCAGGCAGGTGGGGCTGGCTTGGAGAGCTGGAGAAAAATGGTAAAGTAAGAGTTGGTATGAACCAGTGCCTGCTCAGTCAGACTTTCTAAGTTCCTTACTGGGCCCAGGCCAGGCCCCTTCCCCGCACCAGGAGGATCCAGGCTGAGGTCCCCTTCCTGCACCCAGCACTCTGGACCTTGCCAGCCCAGTAGGTGGTGCAGCCTAGGGCACCAGTGGCCACAAGCCTCCTCCCCTGGAAGTGTAGGGCAGGGACCCGGGCACCTTGCATGGATACACTGCTCACCTCTGGCCATAGTGTGGCCTGGGACCTGTGGGGCTGGGGTGGACTTGGGCTCCTGCTGGCCCCACCAAAGCCAGACTCAGCTTGGCCAGCCACCCCTACCACTCAAAGGCTGCGCGTGCCCTGCAGGCCTCGTCACTGTCATGAATCGCTGCAGCCTGGCCGTCCCATCCCAGGACGTGGCTGTCCCGATCACCATGGCTCACCCACCAGTGCAGCCAGCAAGCACATAGGCAGGAGCTGGGCTATTGAGGGGAGGGAAGAGAGATGCGCGGACCCCCCCACACCACATTTCCAGACACCCAGGTACCCCTGTCCGGCGCCACGCTCTCAGGCCTGGGGTGAGGGCAAGGGACTCTGGGCTGTGGCCTGGAGGTGGCTCTCGCTGGCTTGGAATCATAGTGATTGATCAGGAAGGGATGCAGGGTGCCATGAGGCAGCCTCACGCAAGTCCCCACTGCAAGTCTCCGCCGAACATGCTCTCGTGCGCGCTCACGCGCTTTCTCTCCCTCTCCCTCTCCCTCTCCCTCTCCCTCTCCCTCTCCCTCTCCCTCTCCCTCTCCCTCTCCCTCTCCCTCTCCCTCTCCCTCTCCCTCTCCCTCTCCCTCTCTTTTTCTCTCTCTGAGAGGTCAGCAGTTCAGCCCTCTCTGCATGCTGTGTCCACAACCTGGCATTCAGTTGAGCTCTTGGTCATTTTGGATGTTATGGACACTGGCTCTTTATATGTATAAATGGGGATAATAATCTCAGGCCAGTGCGGGGATGGGCTAGAAGAGATCAAGGGGGAAAAGAGGGACTTATGTAATATTTTCAACAGTAAATATATTTAAAATGATGATAATAACAATAATAATAATCTCAGGCCCAGAAAGCTATGAGGATTATATGTGAAAGTGTATGTAAAGCAATAAGTGGTTAATACGTTGGCCTTTACTAGTCTATACCTTCTTCTCATTACCATACATCTTCCAAAGTAATACTACCATTAGCTTTTTATATCTTATCTGCTATTCCACATTATAAAGTCAGAAATTCTTAATTTGGTATAAATATGGCTTTCCACAGTTTTGACCCTTATCATTTTCATTTTACTTCTCTCTACTTCCTACTTTCTTTGTACCTCAGTTACAGCATGCTTTTAGTTTTTTTAAATACACCTATCTTTTTGACCATTGAATGCCTTTACCACTGTTGTAATATCTTGCTGGACTGTTTTCCTCCTGAATTTCTAACCTATATTGCACCTACTTTTTACCTATCAAACATGCATATCAGTTAATATTTAGCTCAAATATGATGATTTCAACCTTTTTCTGATTTCTCTCAGCAAAGCAAGTTTCTTCCCTATCTATAAAGCTAGCAGACATTTTTCACAATTCTGTAGCACTTTTCTTTTTGGATTGCATTTATTTGTTCATGCTCTTTTTTCTTTTACTAGCTCTAATATACCTAAAAGTAAGGACTGGATTTTTATTTTTATTTTTACCTTTGTATTGCCTGTGCTTGTCAGTGTCTTATGTATAGTAGATGCCCAGTAAATTTCAATTGAATAAAAGTCTCTAAGCCCTTTCTATAGGAGAGGCTGCATATTCAGTCATCTCATTTTGTAATTTAGTGTTATCCTCATTTAACAAATTACAGAATGAAAGGAAAGATAATTAGATATCACCAAAATATACCGTAATGAGGTAACATTCATTGTACGGCACAGTTATGGCATTTTAGTTAATTTCTTAGCCAATTTCTATTCATATCAAGTCTCATTATATCAGTATATTTATACATTCTAGGTTTTTTATTTTGGTTTTTTGTTTGTTTAGATTTTTCAGATCCTTTATTCATCATAGAGAAAAGTTTGAGTGTATCAGAAAAAAAACTACTACCCCACCAATAGTTAAATTAGGATTATGAAAAAAACTTTCTAGGGAAGATAAGTTCATAACAGGCAAGATATTTTATTTGAATTCTAGATTTTATGTACTTATATTTCTTTTCCCCCTAGGGTAATGATGCACCTATTGAACAAGAAATTAACAATGCAGAAACATACTTTGAAAGTGCCAAAGTGGAGTGTGCAATCCAAACATGCCCAGAATTGCTACGAAGAGGTATGTTGTGCTTCTTTACATTTTGCACTTATGTATATTTGATAATGGTATTAATTTTTTAATGTGTTAAATAATGTGCTCCATAGGAATTGCAATATTTGTGTTTTACTTAATATTTTACCATGTCTGGAATAAAATGATTACATGGCCAAGATAGAGTCTTGCAAATGTCCCCTGCCATCTGACCTGATGTCATTGAATAGGGATAGTAAATTTTTAAATAACTCTTTCCCTATAGCTTTTCCCTAAAGTCTTTTCACTCCTCTGTGATTATTATAGTTACTAGAGGCCCAGTGCATGAAATTCATGCACTAGGGAGTTGGGGGTGTCCCTCAGTCTGCCTACACCCTTTCCAATCTGGAATCCCTCTCACAATCCAGGACTACTGGCTCCTAATTGCTCGCCTGACTGACTGTGATTGCCCCTAACCATTTATGCCTGCTAACCTGATCACCTCCTAACCACTCCTCTGCCAGCCTGATTAACACCTAACTGCTCCCCTGCCAGCCAGATCATCCTCAACTGCCCTCCCCTGCTTGCCCGGTTGTTCCCAATTGCCCTCCCCTGCCAGCCTGATCTTGCCCCCAACTGCCCTCCTCTGCCTACCTGGTTGCCCCCAACTGCTATCTCCAGCCAGCCTGATGTCACCCCCTATAGCCCTCTACTGCCAGCCTGATCTTACCCCCAGCTGCCCTCTCTGCCAGCCTGATCACCCCTAACTGCCTCTGCCTGCCTGATTACCCCTAACTGCCCTCCCCTGCTGGCCTGATCTCGCCCCCCAACTACCCTCCTCTGCCAGCCAATTTGGTTCTGATTGGTTGGTTTCTATTCCAGTCAGCGTCTTGGGGCCTGCTCAGAAAGGCAGAGTTGATCAGCAGCCCCAGTGGAGGACTGGAGAGAAATGGAGGCGTGGCTACTGGCCAGGCCCTGAGAGAAAGAGGGAGGCAAGTGCTAATCAACAACTGGCACAGAGGCTACAATTAGACCTTGCTTCTCTCTTCAGGTCTCTCTCCAGGCCTGATTCTCAGCCCTCTCAGCAGTCAGTGCTGGGTCTCCACAGCAACCCAGTGCTGACTATAAGACTGACTTCCAGTTGGTCAAGCCTCCGGTCACTGTGGGTGTAACAGACCCAGGGTTTTTATATATTAGGATAATTACATTCACTGACACATAACCATAAGAAAAATCTGAATAACAAAACTTTTTTTAAAAATTATAAAACCGTAATATGTAACTCTACAGAATTATTGTCATTAATATAAGTCATTACAATCAGAGCAGAAGTGAAACAAAATCAAGTTTGTCATCCTTTTATAAAAATAATATGCAATTATAAACCTGAGTTGGTACCACAATAATTTAACTTAACCATCTTTATAAAGAAGTGTTTTTAATGCACTGATCCTCTTTTTTAAAACCAAATTATTTTCTTCCTGGAATTTTTTTATTTATAGATTTTCAATCACTGTTTCCAGAAATGGCCACCAACAAACTAATGATTCTGACCGTAACACAGAAAACTAAGAATGATATGACAATGTGGAGTGAGGAGGTAGAAAATGAAAGAGAAATTCTCTTAGAAAAGGTAATTTCTTTCAATTGGTGACAATTTAATTTTATGATTTATTTAAACAGGAATGAAGCAGTGTTTTAAAATGCTGGGTGTAATTTCTAGCCTTTATTAATTATCTGTTAACTTATTTCATTATTAAAGAGCTTACATCTTTTCTAAGAATATCAGTGCCACAATTTTGAACAACTAAGATTCTGTCTAATACTTTCCTGAATTCTTTTTGAATTTAGTTTTGTTTTAGGACATTTGGAAAATAGGATAAAAAAAAAAATACACTATTCATACCTCCCCCTCTCTCTCTCTCTCTCTTTCTCTCTCTCACGCTGTCTAACCTTCCTTTCTCCTTTCATGTCTCTCTCTCTAAAGCATGTCAAATAAACAGTGAAAATTACCCAGTCTTCTTCAAGGAGTAAATGGTAACTGTACAGGGCAATAGTTATAAAAAACTATATACTCACGTTTTTTTCTGTCCTTTGCTTTTAGTCTGAAGATATATTTTAACTTTCTATAACATTACACAAAGATAGATTTCATTTTTTGTAAAATCTACATATATGTCCCATGGGCAAACCATACAGTTTTTAAGTTACTTAAAATTTTCCTTTAGTAACTTACAAGTTGAAAACCAAGCTTTTTTTTAATAGGCGGTGAGTATATTTGTACATATATTCTTTATGCACAGACTTATATCTCTAGATTTCTAAATAGGAAAATTCTAAATTACGGGATATGTTCATTTTAAATTTTGGTAGGTGCTGCCAATTTGGACATGAAAAAGATTGTCTTAGTGAATAAGCTCTCACCCTATCTTACCTTGTATGCAAGTATTTCCTTTTCATTTTTACCAACCTGAGAAATGTTAAGAAGTGACTTCCAAATCTTAAATTTTAAAATTATATAATTCTCTGAGGGTTTTTTGTTTAGTTGTATCAATTTATTTGCCTGAAAGATAGAAATATTCCTGTGCCTGTGTGACAGGTTAGGAATAACTCACTTGGGTAATCTTAGCTAGGTATAGTTTAAAAAATTACCTTTACTAATTTCCAGCCAGAATAATGTTAGGAATTACTTTATATTTTCTTTATGTATTGGAAGTGTGATTCTCTTCATTTGTAAAAATATAATTTACACAATTAACAGTGTTTTATAATGATGACTTAATAATACTTAAAAGTCCCTTGTTGAGCTTTTCTAATAAATTTCATGCAGTTGGCAACAATCTGAGCAAGTTAACAAGGAAATTACAGAGAGGCAGGCATACGGCATTGTTTCTGACTTGATAGAGATCTCAGTTTAGAGAGTTGAAATTTAAATAGGCATTAATGCAATAAACATTTTTATTTACATTTTAAGATAATGTTTACTAAATTTATACTTATCACTCTCACTAGAGAGCTCTTGTGTGTATAGCATTTTTTGACCAGCTAAAGATTCTGAACTTCTTGATACTAATCCATTATAGTTATAAGTCAGTTTTTTATAACCAACTAGTGGCTCAGTGTACGGATTCATGCACATTGAAAGGAAATTAATTAGAATAAATATTTTAATATCGCTATTTGCCCTTTATAATAGAAGTGTCAACCAAATTCATGACCAACAATGACAGATCGAAACACATGCATGCAATTGGCACCAGTGAGAACTTTATCTGTATCACACATGTACAAGTCAATTTAGCCTTTTATATAGAGAGAATAAACTTGCTTAATTAGGCCTGCTTTCTTATTTACCTAAACTTTTTCCAGCTCAGTGAAGCACCACAACTTCTCTTTCAGGTAATTGTCAGCAACACAGTAGTAGTATAAATATCAACACAAAGCAGATTATTATTGTTGATCATGCAGGGAGAACAAAGGGTAAAATATTTAACTCCAGCAGTGTTTGACTATATCCTGCAGAGTTGAGAAAACCTAAAGTCATTTTCAAGGTCCACCATTTCTTCTTTTCAGTCGGATTAAGTTTCTAAACTTTCTAAATCTCCGTTTTCCAGCTAATGAAAATAGGATTCTACCAAGTCTCCTATCAACCTACTCCAGAACTTCTGTGAGGATCAAATGAGATGAGGCATGGGAAAATGCTTCACATATATTTGGTTAAAATGTGAAATGTTTACACCTGGCTATAAAGCAAGTTGTGTTCCTGGGCTGAAGAAACTCCAAGGAGGCTAGTTGCTAGGGAGAGGAAACCGGGCATTGCTATGTGATGCCTTTACCCAGCGCCCACAGCCACTGTTTCTGGGCTGGGCTGGACTGGCTGTAGGCCGCATTTAGCGCCATGGGCAGTGTTGGTTGCGATTTAGAAGGCTGTTGCTCCAGTTGGTGGTGGGGCCTGTGTCCCACTTGGGGGAAGCCGAGTGTTGCTTTGTTGGTGCCAGATCCATAGTGCCCACTTCATGGCAGTTCCTGTGTTGAGTGTCTGCCCCCTGGTGATCAGAGCATGTCACAGCAACCTGTTGGACAGTCAGAGGCTCACTTAGCATATTAGCCTTTTTTTATGGGTGGGTGGGTGGGTGGGTGGATGGATGGATGGATGGATGGATGGATGGATGGATGGATAGATAGATAGATAGATAGATAGATAGATAGATAGATAGATAGATAGATAGATAGATACCGTGTTTCCCCAAAAATAAGACATCCTCCGAAAATAAGACCTACTTACAGGTTTCCTTCTGAGTGAAATATAAGGCATCCCCCCAAAATAAGGCCCTCCTAGGCTCTGTTTCAGAATGCTATTGCTAAACATGAGAGATTTGGTCCACTGATTCTGAAATAAATGGAGTCACAAGAAATTCACCAGGAAATTCAGGAATTGGATTGTTATGATATTCCAGAAGATGATGACATGATTGTCATTGAATAAATGAATAAATTCTTGATACTATAGAATTCAGTTTGTCTGGTTTGTGTTGACAACTACCGTACTACCGTACCATATACAGGTAATAAATTTCCTTTATTTTCATTTAACAATAAATGTGTACCGTATTCTTCTTCATGGAAAAATAAGACATCCCCTGAAAATAAGACCTAGCACATTTTTGGGAGCAAAAATTAATATAAGACACTGTCTTATTTTGGGGGAAATAGGGTAGATAGACATTTCAGGGCTTTGAAATGGCATATGCTTTATCTTGTGATTTTTAGTTTATGGAAATAGATTTTTCTACTTTAGATATATTAGCGGTTATTTTAGAACCACATATATTTTACTGTCGATAAATAGGTATTTTATATTTTATGGTTTAAATGTATTTTTCCAGCAGATGTCAGTATTCAATATTGATGAATAGAAATCTTAAGAGAAATATTTAAACTGGATCTTTTTTATGATAATTATGGGATTCTTTTAGTTAAACTTGACAAATATTTGATTGTATTGTTTTTCTTTCCTTAACAGTATTTGTGTTTAGCACATCTCTGCATGATACCGACATACTAGTGACTTTTCTACATCATATTCAGTAGTTTTTCTATTTTTAGAATATGGGGATTAAATAAATACAGCAATAAATAGAAATATTAAGTGTGAAGGTAATCTAAAAAGTATAGTATTAATGTTTCGCATTAGTTTACAAGTATTGGGAGAAAAATATTAATAAGTTAGCTAAGCTTGTATACATCTATAGCAGAGGTCAGCAAGCTTTTTCTGTAAAGAGCCAGATAGTAAATATACCTAGGTTTTGTGAGCCAAAGGCTCCAACTACTTAACTTGACTCTTGTATTGTGAAGCAACTACATGTATGTGTGTGTGCTCCAATAAAACTATATACAAACAGGCAGCCATCTAGGTTGGGCCCTCAGATTATAGCTTGCTAACTTCTTATTTAGTATATGGCCCCTATTCCTAAGGTTTTTACTTTTGAGGTTGTCAACTTAAGGCAGCGAAGCCTCTTAACTCTGAGTGGACCGGAAATCCATATTACGTAGCAATGCATACACCCTGATATCACCATTCAGCTCTCAGTTGGTTCTTTCAGCTTGGCCTCCCAGAATCTCTCCAGGTGCGTGCACAGCTCAGGATATATCACCAGGGTCAATTGCCCTGCAAACTACCTAGAGCCTTGCTTGCTTATCTCCCTCTTCTTCAGTACCTTTTCCACAAATTCCATATGCTTCAGCAGTCCATAATTCTTGTTTTCTACTACGTCCTCAGTGCGGTGACACTATAATTTGCTTGGAAACCACTTCTTTGCCCTGTGACTAGAAGGTATACCCAGACAAAACTGGAAAATATGGGGTCACCTCATCTTTTCCCCATCTGTCAAAATAAAGTTTTGTCTGACTGTTATTCAAGGTATAAAAATAGTTGCCTCATATATTCTTGTCACTTTTATAGTGTTCAGCAGATGACAAGTTTGGTACCTATTACTGTTATTGCTGGAAGTGGAACTCTACCCTATTTTTTTTTTTTAAAAAAAAGGTATAAATAAATATTTTTTATTGATTTCAAAGACAGGAAGGTAGAGAGAAACATCAATGATGAGAGAGTATCATTGATCTGCTGTCTCTTGCATGCTCTCTACTAAGGATCAAGTCTGCAACCCTGAGCATGTGCCCTGTCTGGGAATTGAACCATGACCTCCTGGTTCTTGAGTCTACATTTAGTCACCGAGCCACACTGGCCTGGTGTATCCTCTTGTTTTGAAACATTTATGATCTGTCGGGGTTTTTTTGTGTGTGTGTGTGTTTTTTTTTAACATTCTAATTTGGGTACTAATGTTCGTTACTGTCTTCCTGGTTAGACTTTCAATAAAGCTAATAAAGTAATCATAAGCATTAGGATGGCGAGGCCAAGATTTTGACTAGGTGATACATACACAGGTATATAATAATTATACATTATACAAAAGGAACAGTTTTATAATGAAAAGTAAGCATCCTATCCCATCCATTTATCCTGTTATTTTTATGTACCTTTTCAGAAGTATTTCACAACTGAAAGTGGATAGATGTGTTTTTGAAGGACACAAACAAGTATATGATTTTAATGTTTATTCAAATTAATGAATGGTTCAGATCTTTTTATTGTGAACATTTTGTTTTTCCTTTCTTACTTTATTTCTAATATTTCCATAGTATTACAAAATAGCAACTATAGCTTATAGTTCATGATAAATTCAGAAATCAATAGCACAGAACTGATTAGAATTAGTTTCTAAAATAAATAGTTTAGCAGAAAAAAATACGCAATTTATATTTCTTGAAAAAAATGAAAATGTTATATGAACCATTAATCTTTTAGACTGGTGAAAACAACCTTATGACTTTAATTTATCAGTTATAAGTTTTTACTAATCTTATTGAATTCTCTGAAGCAAAACATTTATTTAAAAATTTATTAAAAATAAAAATCTATAGCCCTGCTATTTTGAGCATATTATTTGTCTTTTTCTATGCAGTTTATCAATGGTGCTAAGGAAATATGCTACGCTCTTCGAGCTGAAGGCTATTGGGCTGACTTTATTGACCCATCATCTGGTTTGGCGGTGAGTAATTAAATTAAAAGTTTGAAAGCCAGGTTATGTAACTTGAAGTAGAAATGGTTTTTATTATTACAAAATCATTTGTAACTATAACTTTGGTTAAAATAGATCATTTAAGACTTTTTTAAAACTTCACAATTTTACCAAAAAAGTACCACAGTGAGTCAATTGCAGTCACCACTTGTAGCGACCCCTGTCACTCATACTTAGGTTTTTTCATCACTTTAAGGATTTTTAAATTAAAAATAAAAAGTTATTTCCGTCATTATTTAATTTATATTGAATTGATGTGTTTATTGTTTGTTAGTTAAAAATTACTTATCTGTAGTTTCTTTAAGGAAGAAAATAATTTTTTAGAAATAAGGAAATTGGATGATAAAAAATATTTGGAAAAGTAATAATTTTAAAAATAAACAAAGTTATATTTTGAAAATAACTGAACTACATTCTAACATTTTAAATTCTGGGTGTTGTGTTTTTTTTGTTGTTGTTAAAATAGTAATTTTTTTTTTTTTTTAATCTTCATAGAGGATTATATACTATTTTTTTCTCCAAGTCAAGTAAGATATAGTATAGACAAAAATGAAGAACTTAACTCTGGACTTTAGCTTTCTTTTCTTGTAAATGATAAAGATGAACCACAGATGATTATCTAAAATTTATTCAATCTGTAAGGTGATATAATGTTATGCATTTGGTTCTAGATAACATGAAATTTGCTAGATCATTCATTTCACATTTCCAGAAGGGGAGAGGAGGTATTAGGCAGTTTATTTGTTTCATGTGACCTTATTATTTGGTTTTAAAAATATTTGTAATATTAAAATAGATACGTGTTTATGTTTGCATGAAAATTACTGTCTTTCTTGCTAATGAAAATACTTCATTTTTTAAATTTCCTCCAGTTTTTTGGACCATATACAAACAACACTCTTTTTGAAACAGATGAACGCTATCGTCATTTAGGATTCTCTGTTGATGACCTTGGCTGCTGTAAAGTGATTCGTCATAATCTCTGGGGTACCCATGTGGTTGTAGGAAGTATCTTCACGAATGCAACACCAGACAGCCATATTATGAAGAAATTAAGTGGAAACTAGTAGTAATGTCAATTTATTTGCTGTACTATTTCTACTTAACACTTGGATTGATCCATAAACACTGTCAAAGGCTTCAGATTTTAAAATTTACTTATTTCTAGGTATTTATTTCAACATTTGTAAATTTACAGCATTGACAAGGATTTGTGATTTTTAAATCTCAAAAGTTTATATTATCTGTGAATACATGTTAAGCACATCCACATTGTACAGAATGTGGTAAATAACATGTAACTATGGTATGATCTATTGTTACTGCTCCCCTTTATTGGAAAAACCTTAGTTTTAATTATTTTCTCCAAAAATAAATTATACATTTGCTTATGGTATTTTTTTTTCATTGCAATATTTTTTAAATATGGTTCTTAAGACTCCTAAGAAATTGTATTAATCTTTATGAAATTGTTTTTTTAATGAATGTGGTTGAAAAGTCTACATTTAACTTTTCCTAATTTTCTTTTTTCTTATACCAGTCTTGAGTATTGCTTTGAAATAATGTACATATAGGAAAAGAAGAAAAAGAATAATACTACATGTATAAAGTCATATGAATCTCATCCTTATACATACTAAAGGAATAATTCTTAACTTCTTGGTTGTAATAAATAAATGTGGATTATTTTGAGACAAAACTATGCCTCAAGCTGTTAAATCATATTTCTCCAATTTTAAAAGATGCAAACTGTGAGACATTACAGCAATATCTCATTTGTGATAGCTAGTTTTTACAGCATTGTGAACTTTTTAAAAAATCACACCTTTTCATTGGTGAGGCTTAGACAGTAGGAATAGAGAGAAATCTCAGGAGAACAAGTAACTTCTACCAGATGAATTATTTCATTTTTGTCACATTTGCAATTTTACTTCAGTGTACATGAAATACCATAGTTATTAAATGTGCTTCCTTAAAATGAAAACAGGCTGGAAAGATGAAGTTGTGATATTATAATCTGCTTTGATCTTGTCGTATTTAAAAATAGATGCTCTCCTAGCTGATTTAGCTCAGCGGATAGTATCAGCCTGGGACTGAAGGGTCCCTGGTTCGATTTCCTATCAAGGGCATGTGCCTGGGTTGCAGGTGCGGTCCCCAGTAGGGGGCATGTAGAAGGCAGCTAATCAGTGATTTTCTCTCATTATTGACGTTTATCTCTATCCCTCTCCCTCTTCCTCTTCCTTTCCATCCCCTCTTCCTTCCTCCCCCCCTCCCTCTCCTTCCTCTCTGCAATCAATAAAAATATATTTTTGACAATTAATAAATATTTCAGTGGCATCTTAACCGCAACCCATTCAAATGAATACAGGCTCCTTTATTAAAAAAAAAATTTTTTTTAATTATATATACATATATATATATATATATATATATATATATATATATATATATATGCTCTAATAGCTTTAATTTTATTCTGCATAAGATTATATTTAACTTATGACTTCTTGCATATTCTGACATAAAGAGCAATATTCCTATATTTTAAAGGAGTGACAATTTAATGATGCAAAAATGGGCATTTTTTATAAACTATAATACAATTAGTAATCAAAAATTTCCCCTTGTAATTTCCCCTCTGTCCTATTTTTGAAGAGGCATTAAACTTTTGAAATGCTAGGTTGTATTCATAGCCTAGTTGTTTTGCTATAAATTCAATTTTTAGTAGTTTTTAAAGAGTATAAAAAGCCATTCTTGTCACAAACTTCATGAAGTATCTGCCAAAGGTCCAGTTTTGTTCCCAGAAGATTCTCCAGCTCACTGTCTATCACATAGATGTCCAATAACAGATTTTGACTAATTTAATAATGGTTCAGAACAGCAATCCAGATTTGATGGAGTCAAACTGGAACTTTGTGTCCACTTTAATCCAAAACCTTGTGCAGAGAGATCCCAATTAATTTCATATTAGTTCAATCTGGTTTACAATTGCAGCACAATTCAAACTGTATTAGTGATGTATACTGCCCATCTCCCACATGTTGCATGGTACATACTAATAATAAAAAGTTACTTTTTATCTGAAATTCAGATTTATCTTACAGTCCTCGATTTTGAATTTTTAAATCTGATGACTGAACGTCAACATTATTATCAAACATTATTTTTAATGGTGAGATTATAGAAGAACTTGAATAGAAACCAAACTTAAATTTTTCAAGCACACAAATACCTACTGAGATTGAAAAGGGTACAATAGCCCAGATCACATGGCTCTGTGGTTGAACCAGGAGGTCACGACACATGCCTGGATTGTGGGCTTGATCCATAGTAGAGAGTGTGAAGGCAGTGATCAATGATTCTCGTTGATGTTGCTACCTCTCCCTCTCCTTTCCTCTCTGAAATCAATTAAAAATATATATATATATTTTTTTTAAATGAAAGAGTACAATCTTTGAGCACCCTGAAAAGTCAGCACTTTCAGAATTAAGCAAATGCCTTGATGTCTCATTTCTATTTCAGGCTTTGCCTTTGATATTTTATGATTACTGTGCATTGATTGCTATATTTTTATTTCTTCTATTTGTTTTAAAACTGGAGGTTAGGCTGGGACCAGTTTGGCTCAATGGATAGAGCGTCGGCTAGGGGACTGAAGGGTCCCGGGTTTGATTCCGGTCAAGGGCATGTACCTTGGTTGCGGGCATATCTCCAGTAGGGGGTGTGCAAGAGGCAGCTGATCGATGACTCTTTCTCATCGATGTTTCTAACTCTCTATCTCTCTCCCTTCCTCCCTGTACAAAATCAATAAAAATATATTTTAAAAAAATTAAGTTAGATCCTTAACTTTGGAATAAACAGTATTTTTTAGAAGAACTTCACTACAGAGGAACATGAGATCCATTTGTTATTTGCTTTACAAGCATGCTACTCTATATACCTTTAGATAAAAGTCATTTTAAATAATACAAATTTTACCTCTTAATTTAACTCAATCAATTGTAAGATACCAGATTTGGAGTACCGTGAACTGAGTTAAATCACTAGCAGGGCCAAAGAAGACTTCCTTCTGGCACTGAGTAAACTGGCTGGGAAAGAACAAGGCAAACCAAGTTATGGTAATAAGATTTATTAAAATACTTTGTAAAGTCAAGTGGTCGCTCATGGAAGTTAAATTAACTTTCCTGAGACAGAGGGGTATGAATTAGGACCTGGAAGAGACAATTAATCTCAAATGGATGAGCATTTGGCTGATAGATTGCTCCCCAGTTATGGTTCCCTTAGAACCAGTGTAGATCAACACAGTGTGGATAAGCCCAAAGACCTACATTGATTCAAGACAATAATGTCTCCAGGTGGCAAAAAAAATCATTTTAATAAATTGGGGGGAAAAAACAGTTGGTCAAGAAATCTACAATGGAGATAAAACTAATATTAACACTGCAATTATTGAATGTTTTATGGGTTTTGTTATGGAACTTTTGTATATATCAGTTAACACAAGTTTCTCCAAGCAAATTTGAAGTGTGACGATTAAAAAAAAAGTTTTATACCATTTAGGTCTATCAGAATTCCTAGCCTGCTTTTTAAATTAATCCTGCTTCTATTTTAAATTCTTTTTCACTAGTGACTTAAAATACTGTAAAAGCTTAAATAGCCACTTTTTTTTTTTTAACAATGTGATTATTTTGAAGGGTAGCTAAAAAGCACTGAGATTAATTTCCTAAGTAATGTGTAAAAGTCAATGCTATTACTTTGCAGTCATTTCCAATAAAAGATCTCTACTATTGTGGGTACTGGATGGTTAGGCCCCAACTGTCTAGGATTATTTTTAGCTGTTGGCCTTTCCACTTCATAGCGCTGCCCCTTCTTTTCAAAGTGGAGAATAACCTAATGCTAATAAGTATCCTTGCACATAATATACATATATACATAATACACACACAAGCACATACCTTGTGAACAAAACAACTTCTAAGAGCAAGATAGCTAAATAGGTGAAGTGTGTTTATTTTATTTAGAATTAATCCACAATGTGAATGTCTCAAGTGGATAAAATCCCTAGTTTTGTACTTGGGACTTTGCCAGCAGTATTTAACCTTCTGCTCCTAGGTATATAAAAATATGAGCTGCAATGATACATTTGGACAATAGGTGTCACCATCTAATTACCTAGGAATACCTCAGATTTGTGTCTTATTTTGCAAAGAATCTGGGGCTTCTGACTTTGTAAAAATTTATTCAATTATGAGTTGAAATTTATTCTATTCAGCAAGAGGTTCTTGTTCATTGCTAATGATTTAATTTCTTCACTTTTTTCCTTAAAGCTGTTACCCAGATGCCATTAGTCTATGAAACTAATTATATCTTTAAAACAAAATGAATCTCCAATACAGTAAGTCAAATTGTTCAATGTCACACGTCATTGTTTTTATTTATAAAAAATATGAGCTCCTAATAAAGGTATCAGTTTGTTACAGTGAATCTAATGGTTTGAATTCGTAGCTTGGTAAGTAAAAAAAGAAAAGGTATAGAAATACTCATGTGTTTTGGGTATTCAAAACATACCTTTTATTTGGTGAGAAAACTCAAAACCTTTAGAGTCATAAGTGATTTGCCCAAGATCACAATAGAATCTAGATTTCCTGAATCTTAGTAATGTTGAATTGGTGATTTCTGATAATTCTGCCAGATTGTTTTAAAATTAATACTCTTTATTTAAAAAATTTCAAGTACAGTATGGGCTTTTATAATATCCATTTATATTACATGATCATCTATTTTTAATACAACCTTATTAAGATTCTTCCCCATTCTCAGACAGGAAATTGTAAGTTGTTCACAGCACTTCCTTTATTTGGACAGCTCTGCTTCTTTTATCATATCAGAGATGACAGGAAAGGTAAGAAGTTCCATCGAACAGTAGTGCTAGAAGTAATGAAGAAAGGCCAATACCTTTGATATAATAAATTACTGGATTTCTCAGTAACATTTGTGTTTTATAATTATACTTGTCTGGCTATAAAACACCTTTATTGTTGAAATTTCTTAACAATATCATGAAAACTAT